AGCAAAACAAAGTATGCAAACAAATAAACAAACAAAAATGACGATGAGCAAATATGTGCAAAATAAAATAAAGTGATTATATGGCAATGAATTCTTAAATAATCAATTTGTCAGATTTATCTTTTACCCATTCAGTTTTGATTCAATATGTTTGCATTAAACTAAGTTATTTGACAGCCAATAACAATCCAACGACAAATTCAAACAAACAAACAAACAAACAAACGTGATACATTTCATTTTTAACCCCTGCGAACAGAGTAATGATTGCATATGTACATTATTCTTGCATTCAAAATTCTGGTGAGTTTTCTACAGTCCAGAATTACACTTATTCACAGTAATATTAATCTTAATTCAGAGTTTGAGGGAAACGGAAGGTTTTTGAACACAAAGCAAGGGTAGTGAGTGCATTTGAAATGAAAATGCATTAATCTATCTTCCTTGAGCATCAAAATCATTCCCTCTAAGACTACCGTGAAGCATGGGGGAAAAACAAAGCATTTACTCCCGTCCATAAACACTCGCACAGTTATTGACCCGTCAAGTCCAGTTCAAACACGAACATGACCCGTGATCATTCACAAACTGTGTATCTACTGGTCTCCGCTCACACGATCAGTCATTGTTATTGCTATGAATGCGAGTATGAGGCTGTCCTGCCTTTCTCTCCTCCTTTCCTGAGTCTTTCTGTCACTCTTTCTGCTTTTTCTGCTACAAAATGGAGGGAATGGGTGAGCGGCAGCGACGGATGGGTCCCGGGGCCTCGTAAGGGTCAAAGGGCGTGCTGGTGATGGGGGTCAAACGCAGGGACGACCCCGCCATTCCTGATATGTTGTTCAGGCTGCGAGATTTCTCGTAACCCGTGGCTGCCAGATTGTTTGTCCACGTTAGTGACAGGTTGAATCAATTTTAAATGCGTGTTTTTCGATTGAACAGCATGAGCGATGGGGTGGATTGTCATTGGGCGTTACATGTTCGGGTAATATATCGGTTCGAGTGAGAATGTAGCCGACAGAAAATGAATTATTGGGAAAGGAACAAAAGAAAAAGTAACATGAGTGTAAAATTGAAACGTAGGTATAAAGTGGAACAAATGTGAAGATACAGGGAAAAGACAGACGGACAGACATACACAGGACAAGACAGGACAAAACAGGAAAATGAGAGTTATGAAAATCATCATACATTGGTTTACTAAAAATTCCACAACATATAAACACAGTTTCCCAGAACCAAATACTCCACAGATAAACGTCCACACACTCCCACTGGTTGAAGAAAACACTGGCTGGATTGTTTGCCACTAAGTTGTGGGATTTGCGATGGAGTGTTTCAGTTAACCAGTGCAGTGTAGAGTAAGACGACTAGACAACAAATAAGACAGAAGCTTCCTCGGCCAGACTGCTGGAGATTGTTGAAGAAACCACGGGAGCCATTGTGAGACATTTCAACAGATTAATAAACATTATACAGTATAAAATGTTGTTAGTGGGTTTTGAAACATTTTTTATTACTTTGCTCCAAAACCTGGTGAACTGCTAAAGCGTATGATGTGACACTCTAATAAGCAATTACAAAGCACAGACAAATTTTGAGTAAAGTATTTTTTTTTAAATTAATTTTGTATTGATGTATTTTTTTTTGTAATGAATGAATGAATAATTTATATAGGCCTAGTGCCTTTCCGAAGCTCCAGGTCAAAAATATATTGATACATTTTGGTATAAAAAAAACAACCAAATAATAATAATAAAACAAATTCTATATAGCGCCTTTTAAAGGCTCAAGGTCAAATATATATTGACGCATTTTGGAAACAAATAAAAAAAATATTTTATGTACTTTGTATTGATGCAGTTTTAAATAAATGAATACATTTAATTTAATTTAATTTCCAAGGCTCAAGGTCAAAAATATATTGACACATTTAGGTAATACATTTTTTTTTACCTAGAGGTTTGGAAAGGCACCATATAAATTAAATTATTTATTTTGTATTGATGCATTTAAAAAATATATATTTAATAATAATAATTTAATTTATATGGCGCCTTTCCAAAGCTCTAGGTCAGAAATATATTGATACATTTTGGTATTAAACAAACAAATAAATTATTCTAGTGGCTTTTCAAGGCTCAAGGTAAAAAATATATTATTGACACATTTTGGTAATATATATATATATATATATATATATATAAATATATATATATATATATATATATATTTAATTTACATGGTGCCTTTCCAAAGCTCTATGTCATAATATATAGATACCTTTTAGTATTAAACAAACAAACAAATAAAAATATTTAATTTATATAAGTTCAAGGTCAAAAATATATAGATTTTGGGAATAAATAAATAAACTTTCATACATTCATTCAATCATTCATTCATTGATATATAGTGCCTTTCCAAAGCTCAAGATCTAAAACTCATTATATATAAAGGTATGTCTAGGCGGCTCACTGGGTTTTGGAACAGACTAAATGTTACTTACTGAGGTGAAGTGTTTCTGTACTACTATTAAATATCACCGTAAGAAGCTGATTAATACACTACAGTTGAGTTAGTGCACAGATATGCTCTTGTGGACCGCTGGCTGGTTTCTTTGACAACCTCCTGAACATCCTATTATACTTCACTTGACTGAAAGGTCATAAAGCCTGCATTTGTATAATCTAATAATGACAAAAAAAAAATTCACAACACTTCCACTGCATTCACGTTGTCGGAATTACCGTAATCACAAGATGACAACAGAATCTATATCTTCACACTCATAAAATGCCTACATTTATGCCTTTGCTGATGACATGAAAATATGCAACAACAAAAAAATCTTGCAAAATATTAAGCAACCAATAGTAAGTTTTTATTTATATAACGCCTACCTAAAAGTTGTCGGCTAAAATAAAATAAGCAAAAACAGTAATGTATCTACATAAAGCTCCCCAGAAACTCTGAATTACGGTAATTTCGATATAAAATTACATTCATGACAAGTAAATCACAAGTGTTTAGTGTATTATAATTCCATCTTTTGCCATAGTAATAAAAAAGAAAATCAGACTCACTCATGAGTGTTACATTGAGCTTTTGTGAGATTAGTAGTCAGGCTTTTGTGACCAAACATTTAAGTGAAGTGACTAGCAGCGACCTTCCACCCACATATCAGATTTATTTGTCTCTCTCCCGCTTTCTCCCTATATGCGTGTTTGTTTGGGAGAGGAAGAGGTGAATGTGGGAAAAGTTTGCCGCACGTTGATCACAGAAAAATACTCTGGAAGAAAAACAAGGACGATAAAAAAAAAGAAAAAAAAAAGAAAGACAACTTTCCTCTGAAAGTAGGACAACAGCTTGGACACACACACACACACACACACACACACTTGGACACACACACACACACACTTGGACACACACACACACACAAATGTGCTGAGTCAGGTCTGATTTAAAATTCTCACACACACGTTTTATGGGGACTTTCCATTGACAAAACATTTTTATACTGAACAACTGTATAATCTATCCCTTACACTAACCCTAACCCATCACAGAAAACTTTCAGCATTTTTACTTTTCAAAAAACATCTTTTAGTATGAGTTATAAGCTGTTTTCCTCGTGGGAAGCAAAAAATGTCCCCACAAGGACAAGGATTTCAGATTTTGCCATCTTTGTGGGGACATTTTGTCCCCATGACGTAGGGTTTACCTGAATCACACACACACACATTTTTCGTTGCCACATAAATGTTGACAAAATCACAATCAAACACGACACATATGCACACAAAAACTACAGTCAACGATATGCAATGAATTTCTGTGCAAATAGTTTGTAAAGGCATTCCTCTGTAAAATGTTGCATCATTCTCATGTAAAATTACAAACTGTTCAATGCAACGAATTACATGTAAAAAACAAACAAACCATGATTCGATGGATGCACCAGGAGGCCTGACGTCGAACACAGACGGACGGAGGAACCATCGCAAAAACAACGACTTGCACATACAGAACAGCCTGTGTTTATAATACAGTACAGCACACACACATCGCTACCACAGTGCGACACAACCGCTACTCTATCTGCTGGTCTGGACATCAGAACAACAGAACAACTGGATTGTTTTACCCGTCTGCCTGGTCAACATCGCTTCAGACAGCCACACGCCCTTTATATTATGTTTGCCTAGTAAGAGCTTTTAAAGGATTCCTCAGGAGACAGAGCGCATTAGTGAGGGTGGAATAAGACAGGAAGAGGGAATATATTTAATGGGAGTGGGACTGATGGATACTCGATGGAAGTAGGACGGTGTGTGAGAATGTAGCGCCATTAAAACAACAGGAAGTTTGTGCGACAGCACGGTGAAAAAAATTAACGGGCTGACCAATCAAAAATGCATAAATAAAAAATGTCAAAACTACCTTTTAAAAATATTTGAAGACAACATGAAATTAAAATGGACCTCATTTACTGTATTAATAAATATACCTGGTCACATATGTATATATATCCATGATTCAAACAAATCCAGATGTTCCAGAAGTTACGTTATACATTATCGAAGTATAACGTGTTGACATCTCATGTTGCATATCTACTAAAATATGCCTATTAATACCTGAAATGGTTTATATAGCATATTCTTGCTAAATTATATACTTAAAGTACAGCATATTTATGCCTTTATTGCACTAAATAATGCAATGTAACACAAAATAGAATAAACACTATAATTCCAACACATTTACCATGTTAAATACCCACAACAGCTTTGATACCTCTCATGCTAATGAAAGTGCGTTATAGTTTATATTATATTTCTTATGTACATGTAATATTTTATAATATTACCATGTTCAGATCGCTCAGTATGATGAGTGCTACAAGATTTGCATACCTAGTGTGAACCAGGAAAACCTCATAAAGAAGTGTTTCCCGTTTGAACATGTACAGAACAGTTTAAAACAGTTGATGTACCTACCATAGTCACGCATTAGAAACTCTGGTGCTGCACTGACGGCCTGGAGGCGAATGAAGGATGAGATGAGTGTTAGTCACACAGTGGAAAGAGTTAAAAAAAGAGAGTGAATGACATGAAATAACAAAAAGGGGGTGTGCAAATATCAAAACCACATTTAGATGCCCTAATAAAATTATAATCTTTAATAAACGCCACAGTAGGCCTACATGCGACCACCATGCAGCATCAGTTAGGTAGGCTATTGGATAATGATTATGATGACACCCTGATAAGTTGAGGCAATAATGGGTGTGATTGAGGTTATTGGGTGTTTATGTAAGGGCTGGGTTGAAAATATAAATTTCGGCTGAATCGTCTTCACTAACACTCTTCACATTATTTGCAGCGCTCCTCCCTTCCAAAAAAAAATCCCTAATAAGCATATTATGCCTTTTTAATTTTTAAATGAAGCGTTTGCTAATACTGTTAATGCTGCCGTCACGTGCTATCGGACATTTCCTACTTCCCACTTCAGAAGTCATGATTACCAGCTCAACGCATTCAAATTTTGACTTGAGAGGGCGTTCATGTCCATTTTTTATTAACGAGGAAACTAATATGATACTTCCAAATAGCACGTGAAGGCAGCATTAAAATCCTGAGATTTCCACTCGTATTTACGACGTTGTGGTAGCGCTCATGTGCCTTCAACTCGTAAATACGATCTTTCCGACAAGACTTGAACACACAAAAGGCTCAGCTTTCAAACTGTGTAAATTTTAATGCGAAATTTAAACAATAAATACCGTCTTGGCGCTCTTTATTGTGACGTGACAGATCTCAGTTCAAGTGAAGCGGCAGCGCGCCAGGAGCGCGCGTGAGTGAACTGATCATCTCTTCCGCTTTACAACACGAAATAAACACGAACATCAGAAGGTATGTTGAAAGATACAGGACAACTTTCCAAAATCCGCATTATGTCTCATGTAATCTTGTAATAATGTTTTATTGACGGAAAGACGTCAATAAACAACTTGTAAACAACAGCTCAACTTAGCATACATGTAACTACCTAAGAAAAGCCATTCACTGACCATAAAGCTAATGTTAGCTAGAAATATATACTCTAGATAGAAGCATTTTGCTATATATGCACTAAATTACATATTCATTATATGTTTACTTAAAATTTTCTTCAATATTTAACGTATGTTTGTATAAATCCATAATTACAAGTTATGACAGCCATCTTTAAATGTTTATATTTCAACAACGAATTTGAGTAGAAACATACGTACGGTATATCATTAAAAAGTAATCATCATAAAACTACCTTATGTCCAATTTTAATGTTTGTATACAAATCTGTTGTTAATTTTAACCTTTAATATTACAGTAATACCAAATGACAGGGTTTCTTAGTTTACATTAGTTGATAGAAATTATTTAGTTCTTTGCAAAAAATTACATTTACAGTACCTTATATGTATGCTAATCAAATTATACCAAATCGAGATTGGGAACTGAATCGAATTGCAAGCTTATGAAATTTGTGTCAATACCCAGTCCTGTTTTCTGTCATATATGTTGCTTAGGTCTACATGTGTGCAGTGAAAGCTTTATTCCAGCTCAGGCTGTTCTGGCAGTATCCCGGCATATCGACCGCTGGACTGTTAGCTATAGAGAGAGCTCACATTACCCACAATTAAGCTCTATCGATCGGCTTGTGACCAGAACACAGAACACCACAACCATGACGGGCCGCTCACTGCTGGAATGTGCTGTAACAGGAGAACAGATCAAATCGCTCCTGATACTGTTCTGTTATCAAACTAGTCCTTAAACCTCAACAGTGCCACTTGTTAACCTTTAGCACAACAAGATGGCACAATAATAATAGAGATGCTTGTTTTTAGACAATATAGGAGGCCTGTAAACAATGACACTAATGTATAATGTATGGGTTTCTAAATGACAGGTTGTGATATTTGCAGACAGGAAATGCACAGTTGCAAACACACACATGCAACATTAACAACTACACGCATAGACATGGAAGGAGTGTGTGTGTCTGTGTGTGTGATGATATGAGATGAGTTGAGTTCAGTGATATAGTGATAACACCCTCTGTTATTTTAGTTTACGAATGATCTTTAACTAAATGCATTGTTAATTTATTCCAAATTGTAAGAATTTATTATAATACCTAATGTTACAGTGTTATTTTCTTATGCAAAATCCAATCTGACACGAACGTAGACGAACGCTTATATTTTTGAAAATAATGCCGAATCATACCAATTGAATTGAACTAAATTGTGACTAAAATTCAGATTTCCTGATGCATTCCACAATTGAATTGTATCATCAGGGCAAATATTTACACGTCTATCTGTAATGCATAACCGCTTCACTACACAGCCTAAATATAGACATGATGGAGACCCTGTTTTAATGGAGAAAAGAGAGTTCATGCTGTTGCCTTGACGGAACTAGAGCACACCTGTTTAGTTTTGAAAAATGTCTTGCTCAAGGCATCTTTCATAAAGACTATAACTTTGAACTTGTAATGCAACTTTAGGCTACAATTTGTAATGGAAATATCAATAAACTGAGAGACTGTTATGTGAAAGACACCCACGCTTTACACCTTTCTTGAAACAGTTTAAAGTGCTTCAATAACAAAATATAATTAAATCCATAAAGGGGTCATATCATATTATTATGTATAACAGCAAAAACATTTTTTTACATGCAATGAAAATGCATGATTATCTGACTGTCAAGTTCAATTGCAATTTTGCTTGATTTATTAAAATCAGTATTAAATATTCAATAAATAAATAAACAAATAGAGCAATTTTTTAAACAAATTTAAATAAAACAAATTGCCTTGCCTTCATATTAAAGTTAGGAATACTTGATGTATTATGATATGATATATATATACCTTTTTTTTTTCAAAATATTTTTTAACATATTTTTTTAATGCATGGTGGTGATCGCTGATTGTGACATTCAGTTGCACGCCTGCAACTTTTCTGGATTCATAAAAAATAAAAATCTTAAAATAATAAATAATAAAATCTTAAAAATAAATAAATATACAGCAATAAATCTTAATGTTTTTTAATAATAATAATTATGAATATTAAAATATATTTCAATCAATATAAAAAACATTACAATCTGAAACAATAAATAGCAATTAGACTGATGATATTGAATGTTTGATCTCAAAAGATTAAGGAATATTTGGTTCATTATGATATGACCCCTTTAAAATCAGATTCGCTTTTAGTCTCGAATAAAAATACATGCATCATTTATGAAACTATTGTAGTTGCTACAATGAAACTACTGATGTTTGTTTGCGAGTGTGGCCCAGAAAACAGGGCATTGAGGAACTTTGACCAGTTGAACACACACGAAAATTGACCAGTTTGAACAACACACACAAGGTCATAAACATATAAGACAAACAACAGGAAGACAACAGAAGATAGAGAGACACACTGAGAGGGAAAGAGAACTCACAATGCCTTACAGAGATCCTTCACAGAGACTTCAGTTGTCAGATACTGACTTTGACTCTGAGTAAATAGCCTCATGCAAACAGCATTACAGCAGGGCAGGTCGGTGCGCGCACCCACACACACACACACACTCCTCTAAGAACAGTGAACAGCATTTAGGGATTATATTGCACAGGAAGAGATCGCTTTAACACCCAGAGCAATATGTGTGTGTCTGTATAGGTTCCACAGATGGCAGGAATATATTTAGATCTTAAATCAACTCCCATTGGCACAGACTCACACACACACAGTTTACACTCGCTGTATCGTGCCCAATTAACAGTCTAATGTCCGTTCAGCGAGGCACTATGGCTCTGTTCCAAACCCCAGTGTGCTGCCTTGCTGTCTACATAGTCTGTTAGCTTCTAAGGCAGCATCCTAGCTGAAATGGAACCTCATAAGTGACTGATCTGAAATGCTCTTCATGGCCACTAACTGTGTTAATGGTTACTCACACACCACACAAATAGTGCTGAGCGCCCGGGAGACTCGACGGATGCTTGCAGTTGATTCCAGTGAGGACTGACGTCAGCAGTTGCACAAATAACACTCACATAATGGGTGAAATATGCATTTTAAATGCATGAAACCATTTTCCATGCCATGTCTTTTTCGATGAAAATCACAATGCATTATGGGAGTGTGTTTTTCATGAACGTTACATATTGTGACCAAAACAAGGTATCTTATCAAGGCCGCATAATTAGGATGCTTACCACGACTATTTAGTTATTTTATCATCAACTATTTCTATGCTTATTTAATTATTTTATACCTAGAATTAGTGATTTGAACAAACCCATAACCCCAAATATTAAATGTTGGTGTGCAATTCGCTATTGCTTATATGCATTTTTAAACCAGTCTTGTTATTATTGTCTAAAACTATTAAAAATCATTTTGTTAATTTAAATAAATCTGAAATATAAACATTAGATGTAAAACATAAAACTTAAATGAAAATTTGGAATAAAGCACTAAAATGACAAACTAAAGTTAAAATAAAAATAAATCAAAGCTAAATAGAAACAAAAATGACAAAAAAACACAAAACTACTAAAACTTAAAACATCACTGACTGTCGAATTCAGTTTATATGTTTTTTTGCAACAAGAAATAAATTATTTGATTTTCATTGCATTTAAAAAACTACTTTATTTCATGGGGATCGCTGACTATCAAGTTAAACTGAAATTAATAAATATTAGATAAATAAATCAATTTAAATATCAAAATAAATATGGAGCAATATGATTTTTTTATGTAAAAAAAAAAAAATCTTTTTATTATAATTCCTCATCATATGACACCCTTAAATCAGAGAATATTAAAGATGTATTAGAGAGAATATGAGAGAGATTTTAATTTCTACGGAAGCGTATTGCATTCACTTGAAGAAAAAAAATCTACTCTGTTTTTCTGAATTAACGAGTTAATATCTCAGAATTATGAAATACATTTTTCTTGAAATTTTTTTTCATTCTGTTTTTATGAATTAATGAGTTACTCATAATTTTGAGATAATTAAGTCATTAATTCAGAAAAACAGAGCAAAAACTTTTTTCCATGAAAAATTCTCGTAATTCTGAGATAATTAACTCGTTAATTCAGAAAAACAGAGTAGATTGTTTTCCTCAAGTGAATGCAATACGCTTCCGTAAATTTCTAATGTCAGGTTGCAATATATGTAATTAATGAAACTATTGTTGTTGCTCCATATGCTCTATATACTATATGTAGAAGTTTGCTCACTAGGGTTTGAAACAGAGCCTGGCAGTTTAGCTAAGATGCCATATAACAGAACTCACACACACACAAACATATCCTCAACAGACACTGGTCTTTAAAGCTTAACGTAATGTTATTTCTGCATCTATAGGGTCTCTGGATGTTAAAAGTGATAAAGCGACTGCGTCCCAGAAGACGACGTGTTGCTCAAGCCCAGGATAAGTGCTGGGAAAACACCACGGATCCTTCTTACCTGCTCTACGTCAGTCTGTCTGTGAGTCTGTCCAAATATCCCAGTGTCTGTCTGTCAACCAGTCAATCAGACGTCAGTTACACAGCACGCACACACACCTCAAAAACAAGAGCTAACACACAGACTGTCACACACACATGTAGGAGATTCAGGCTACGCTAGGAACTATAGCAGGTTGAGGTCGTATGAGCAGATTCATAGGAATCCGTGCCACACATAAACACATCCGTCTTTGCATTTTCCCCTCACTGTTGCGATCGGCAGCAACATCCACTCAAAAAACATTTAGGCTAAATTTTAGATTATGTATTTGAATTGCATATAAACTCAGTGTGTAAAAAAATGTATGCAATATAAATCTATAAATAAATCTTAAATTTAGGCCCAAATATGTTTTTTTGAGTGAATGTTGTGTTTGCAGCATGGCACAGAACCGAGAACTCGTGCTCATTTGAATTCACCTTGACCTCTATCGACCCCTGACCTTTAACCCTGAGGTGATTCGACTCAGCTCAGCGAACACCTAAGCAACCTTCCAGTTAGTTTTTCTACGTGTCTGCATTTTTAGGTGTTGCCTCGGTGCGCACGTGCGCGGCCTCCATCACTCCAGGGTTAAAGGTCACCGGAAGAGTGAGGGAAACACATTGAAAACACAATAAGCGACGTCACATCACAACAAACACAACGCACGCACACACAGCGAGGAGGAGGACGGGGGAAACAGTAGAACAGTGAGAGAATATATGAAGAAGCCAACATACAAACGCGGGATATGACACAACCTGAAGAAAAAGACAATACAGAGCGTGTGAGATCCCACTGAAAACACACACACACACACACTGCAGCAGGTGCAGTTCCATTTGTAATTGCAGTGGATCTCATATGACATTGAAAACAATCTTTGTTACACAACATAGTGTCCAACTTTGTCCCATATGCATGTTTTTGTCATTACAGAGTATGAGGTTAGTGTAACAGACCTGAATACGTCCGAGTAAAGATTGGGTTTCTGCTCACTTCTTTTGCAACATCGCAAAGAACGTATATACAGTATATGCAACGTTTCAGAGGATCTTTAAAGGAATATTCCAGCTTATTTTCAACCTAATCATTTGGATTCTTTCACAGTCATAGACATGAACAGCACAGCAAATCAACAAAGTACAACTATAAATGCCCGGGGTTTGTGAAGTTTTTTCGTAAGGTTTTGTGATGTTTTGCTGTTTTCTGTTTTATAAAAATGTGTATGTTTGTGAGGTTGAAGCTACTTAAATTGCCCTGTAAAGGGACAAACAAAGATTTTACTACTACTACTACTACTACTATTAAATTGTATGAAACACTTAACACTTAAACATTACATGTGATGGCTTGAGACTAGTGTGATAAAATGACCAATGCATCTTTCTGTGATACTCAAATCTGATTGGTCAAGTGTTAGTTAGTTAAACAGTCTCACTATTAACCTAAAATGTGACGTTAATTTAATTTATTTACCATTCAAAATGTTGGGCTCACCAAGGCTGCATTTAATTGATCAAAAATACAGTAAAAAAAGGAATATTGTGAAATATTATTACAATTTCGAATAACTATTTTCTATTTGAATATATTTTAAACTGTAATTTATTCCTGTGATCAAAGCTGAATTTTCAGCATCATTACTCCAGTCTTCAGTGTCACATGATCCTTCAGAAATCACTCTAATATGATGATTTGCTGCTCAAGAAACATTTCTGATTATTATACGTTTTTTTCTGCTTAATATTTTTGTGGAAACGGTGATCCAATTGTTTTGTCAGGATGAATAGATGAAAAGAAAGTGAGAAAAAAACAGAATTTATTTGAATTAGATATATTTTGTGACATTAAAATTGTCTTTACTGTCACTTTTGATCAATTTACTGTGTCCTTGCTGAATAAAAGTATTAATTTCTTTAAAAAATAAACCTGGAATATTCCATTAAACACATTTGATTGCTAGTCTACTATCCTTTACTCACAGTGCCAGAAAAAATGCACTTTTAGAGTAAGATTTGTGTCATCGTATTGTATTTGTGCTGAGTTTCTACATGCCGAGTGTTAAAGTGGGTGATAAATTGTCCCCAGTGCACAGACATTTTTGGTATTGACTGTCCAGATTGGGACAGTCAGCAATTTAAGAGGTGGCCAATCTGCAAAAAAACATACAAGAGCAAATCTATTTGTCAGAGAGTGTGTGAAACCCAAACTTAAACTCATATTCAGTAACATCATACAACATTAGATTCATTTCCTTTAACAGATGAAACTAATGACAGTTTGTTAGGACAACAACACAACACGAAAAATTACACCCATCAACAACGAAACACCCATGCAGGTGTAAATGTGTGTGTAATTGTGTTAAATATCCTAGATCATTAATTATCGGACTTCATGAGCATGTGTTATGTTTCTATTTCTGTGGTTGGTCTTTACCTCTGATCACTATGGTTTGATCCAGTTTGCATTAATATCCTTCCAGCTTATACCATTCATCTGTGATAGAAGGATTTGTGGCCGTCGGCTGATATCCTAAATCTAACTGTGCCAAATGGAGTCGGGTTGTGTTGAGGGAACGGCAACCAGGGATATATCGGGTTCTGAGAATTGTGCGTGCATGGATCGGACATTGTTCGTGTCATTTGCTGTGCATTTTTGTGGATGGAGAGGAGATTTGTGTGGTTGTTGGAGGTGACAGAACAGGATCACAAAGTGTTGTGGGATGTTGTGTGTAACAGAAGGTTTGACACTAAAAATGAAGACCAAGGATCAAGGAAAATGCAATGCAAAAAAAAAAGAAATTGAGAGAATGGAATATAGACGGCAAAAAGAAGAGTATGGTGAACGTGAGGAAAGAAACGGAGGAGAAATTGTGTATTATTATGGAAAATTAGACATGCAAAAAAAAAAAAAAAACGAAATTAAGAAATTAAAGAAAAAGAGAAGAGGAAAAATGTCAAAAGAGAGATTTTTCAGATGTCAGTGTGTTTTAAGGATGTTTTCACACTTGAATCCTAAAATAACCAACTTCAGATCCCTTGAGGTGGAGCAAAAAACAACCTGGTTCACTCTGTTTTCACACCGTTCCTGGCCTAAAGTGAGGGGTTGGATCTGATTTTGACCCATTTTAGTGTTCATTGACTAGCATTGACTCAACCAATGCATGGTGTAAGTTAACAGTGGGATCATATGTTTGCTGGACAATATTTCTGCAAGTTAATTTGGTGCCGCTATTGGCTCAGAACCGACACACTTCACATTTAAATCTAATTTATTTATTGAAAATTGCTGTAGAATAATATTACATTTCTGTGATGATTTACTCACTTTGATGACTTAACTGCTAAATGATTACATGTAAATGAAAAATATTTTATTAAAATAGCATAAGCTGCTCATGTCCTGCCATACCTTAAACTATGGAGCTAAAATAGGCTCAAAATTAATGCGTTTACAAATATGATACACAAATGCAAAAAAAGTTTATATATTTGCAAACAGCAATGTTTAACCCAGTTTATGCTTAAAAAACAGAATTTTTAAAAGAACAAATTTTTTCCCCTTAGAATTAAGTTTATTTTTCTTACCAGACTCATATTTTAAACATAAATTCATTTACTTTTGATATATTTTTTCAGACGTAATTTTGCTTCTCAAATAAATGTTTCTTGATTTAAGAAAGTTTAGATATTTCTACTGTAAAACATGACAAAGATACTGAGAAATAAAATAATTTTCCATAGCGATTCACACACACTTGATGATTTACAAATGTAGATTCAACAACAAACAACAGAAATGTGCAAAAGTGCTTGTGCGTTTCAGAATTGTTGGTTGGTTGGGCATTTGCTAATATAATTTTGTGAATATAAATTAAGTTATGATTTGAGAATTGTAAAAGTATTGAAAAACAGTTGAAGTATTTGACTACACAGAGTGTTTTTTGATTAAAATGCACGATATAAGCGAACTGTACAGTGGGTTTAAAGGGAATGGTTCTTGGACCAGTGCTCAAGGGTTGCATATGCATATGCATAAACTAAATTGCAATTCTTCTATCATCACCCAATTTCAACTCAACTATCGCACAGCTCTATATATAGTTGGATGTACAGTACCGGTATATGCATATCCAACATTATGAAGTACACATGTAAAGCGATATATGCTAATCTCAGTGGCTTGATTGTTTATATTGATTATACATTTTCTTTGAAATGATGTGTATTGTGAAAAGCGCTATAAATAAAATTGACTTTACTTGACAAATCTATTATAAATGCTCTCAGCCTCGTGAAACCACCCAAGTGTGAAAACACCCAGAGATGTTTATGGTTATGTAATCTGTATTTTTGGAGAGATGGACACGAGTGTGTGAGATGGGCAGGTTTTAGGGGATGCTTGTGTGTGCAAACTATGTTAGAAAGGGATCTTTAAGATCTAGCACATCTTGCACAGAGGCTGGGATTGGGCCGAGACTGTGTGAATACGTGTGTGTGACTCGCTTGCAGAAGCATTTAAACGCACCTTTCCGCACGTTCCCATCAGTGGGTCGAAACTCTCGCGTGTTGAGGAGGAAGCAGGCTCTGTCCTGCTGGTAGCGTTCTTGTGTTCGGCCCATCGGGCTGCGCTCGTCCGGACTGAGAACCTGATCGATGGTTGGACAGTCCTCGTTCGCTAGAGCGGCACTGGCTGCGTCACCGTTCTGCTTCGAGTCTGAAGAGAGACATGAATCAACACAGCAAGCGTGAGACAGGAGAGATGCGGGACATTCAACAGGACATTAGGTGAAAAGAGGGAAAAGATCACCTAAAAATATCAATTGTGGCATTAATTACTTCTACTCATTTTGTCCTAAACCTGATTAACTTCAATTTCTTGAATCAGTGAGTTGAATTTGAGAACTGAATCGGGTTCATTTGTGAACGAATCATTCACATCAGCTCTGAGAACTAATTTAATCGATTCATTGAAATGATCCGTCTCAAAACAATCTTTAGTGAAAAATGAATTTTGACCTGTTCCTCACACTGAGCATATTGTTTCAGAAGACTTAAAGTATAGCACATGAATCGCATAGAGGACTTTTATTATACTTTTTTTTTTTGGCAGCTTGACAGCCCCAGTTCTCATTAACTACTCCATTGTACAATGTGAAATAAAAAAATCTGATAATCTTAACGATAATCTGGTTCAGATATGGTCAATTCTGTAAGCTTCTATTGTCCTGCACCGCATTTCTAGGTTTAGAGTTTATTCTTAATTTTTTTTAAAATAAGTATTATTTAATCTGCAAACAACAAATGTGCTAAATTGGAGATAAAAACAATGGTTGTTGCTCTTCCTTAAATAGAAAATAGCTTGCATGTCCTGAATGAAAGAAATTACTATGCAACTATATCTGGAACTAATGTGATAGGAAAATAAAAAGTTTGTTAGGCAAGGTTATGCATTGCCCTGATTCCTGTCCTGTACCTTATATAACTAATAGTGACCCTATAGAACTATTAGAGACTTGCAGGTTTTAAAAACAATGAATAATTGATAATAGACATAACATTAGTAGGGAGAGCAGTGCATCTGGAGAATCACACACACACACACACAGTTGTACAGTGCAAGGACATTATGTTGCATTGTACCATTTTAACAACATTTTAACAATGCACTAATACATTTTCCGACACAGCTCCTAAATATCTCTTTCAGATGACTTTGACGGTTGTGGCTTTGTATGTATTTTTTTATATGATTGAAGTTTCATTTGCAAAGTATTAAGTTCACAGAAATTAATATATAAATATAAAAAAACATAATATAACATAACAATATTTAATAGGCCTACATAAATCATTCACAATCACAATCACTATCCAAAAATAGCTATTTAATATATAAATATAAAAAATATGCAATATAATATAATATATAAAAACAATATATAATATAAAAACAAAGTTTGATGTAATATTTGTTTCTGTTGGATTCCAAACTTTATATATATACACGTTATATATAAAATTTAAATATAATAAAAATAATAAATACATTTCTGTTGGATTTCAGGTAAAATGATCATATTATGATATATTAATCATATCAACCACTCCAAAAACTTAATGTAATTCAGTACTATCATTAAAAATATTCGACCATATTATTGAAACTTCTTGTTCTACGGCTTTCACACGTAATAACATCAAAACATATAAAAAAAGAATTATGGAAAGATTTTTCCATAACAAGGTTAAAAACAGTCAATGAAAGAGTGGTGCGTATTTGTTCTGTCTCACCTCTGTTAATCTCTATGATCTCCTCCTGAGCTAGAGGACAGTCACCCGCCAGTCCTCCCGCCAGTCCACCCGCCAGCCCGCTCGACCCCAGCACGCCACCCAGCACATTACCCAGGATCCTCTGGGGGGAGGCCGTCGCCATTGCCAGGGCGTCCGGCTTGCAGTAATTGGGCGAGCCGGGTTGTGGGGCTCGCGGGATGTGTTTGTTCTTCTTTTTAGGCAGCTTCTGCTTGGCCATGGCCAGAGAGTAATACATGCCGAAGTTGTTAACAATCACGGGCACGGGCATGGCAATAGTCAGCACCCCCGCGAGGGCACACAACGCCCCCACCAGCATCCCCGACCACGTCTCCGGATACATGTCTCCATAGCCTAAAGTGGTCATGGTCACCACGGCCCACCAGAAACCAATGGGGATGTTCTTGAAGCTGGTGTGCAGGCTCGCCGTAGGGTCGTCCGGACTGGCTCCTATCCTTTCGGCGTAGTAGATCATAGTGGCGAAGATGAGGACGCCGAGAGCGAGGAAGATGATGAGCAGGAGGAACTCATTGGTGCTGGCGCGGAGTGTGTGTCCGAGGACACGCAAGCCCACGAAGTGACGCGTCAGCTTGAAGATACGCAGGATTCGCACGAAGCGCACCACGCGCAGGAAGCCCAGGACATCTTTAGCCGCTTTGGAGGAGAGTCCGCTCAGACCGACCTCCAGGTAGAAGGGCAAGATGGCCACGAAGTCGATGATGTTCAGCGCGCTCTTGAAGAACTCCACCTTGTCGGGACAGAAGACGACGCGCGTGAAGACCTCGATGGTGAACCAGATCACACACACTCCCTCCACGTACGTGAGCCATCTGTCCGTGACCACCTCGTACACGATCTCCTCTTTCGTCACGTTCCCTTCCGTCACGTTCTCCGTTTTGTTGTAGATGGTGTTGAATGCTTCGTGCGTCTCCATGCAAAAGGTGGAAATGGAGATGAGGATGAATAGCAGGGATCCGAACGCCACATACTGAAGAACGAGAAAGAAAAAGAAAAAGAGAAAGAGAGAGTTCAGCAGGGGAGACGAAACAAACTTTGGATCAACATACAAAACGGTCAAATATCACTATGAATACTTCCAAAAACAAGCATTGTATGTGCACCTGTTTTGAAACAACAATGAACTCGAACTGATTTAACCAGCATGCATTGTTCCGGTAAGCTTTTATCCAAAGGAACTTGCATTACACACTCATTACAGACACAATCCCTCCAGTAACCTGCAGTTAAGTGCCCTGCTCAAGGACACAGTGCTATCAGCTAATGACCGAACCAGCGTCCGGAAGTTTATAGTCCGAAGCTTTAGCCATTACGCCAGAATGGTGGAACACAAACCCACAAACGGAGCTTCATTTTCAGATATCCACTGTGCTGGAACCCACCTTATGCATTATTTATTATTATATATAACATTTACATTTATGCATTAGATAGACACCGGTGTTATTTAAAAAATATTTAAATATTTTAGTATTATACAATATAGTATTAATATTGTGAATTAGCTTATATATATAATTTAATATATATATATATTTTTTCATTTTAGACATTTTGCTGTGCTTTTGTGTTTTTTATTAGATTTTTTTGTGTGTATTTAGTTTATTTCAGTTATTTCAGTTTTAGAAATGTCAGTACTTTAAACTTATTTTATTTCAGTTATATAATAGACTTGACCTTGACCATAGTGACCTAATTTTCCAACACTGATCTTAGGTAAAACAATACGTTTCTATAAACGGAGACATACAGTATGATAGCTTTACATACAGATCAGTGGCAATGCAAGGAAGTGAACTGCTGATTCTCTGATCAATGCAGTTCAATAAAAAATTATCCAAAGCATCACTTCACATAGAAAGACCTGGTAGAAAGAGGGTTATGTACTGGATAAAACATTAAAATCAGTTTTTTTTTTAAAGATGACAATCTTATCGGTTAGTTCACAATATCACAATTGAGTGAATATAATGATTTCCATTACATTGCATTACTATTTTATAGGAGAATTTCAAATAATTATGAACATGATTTTTAAAAGATGTTTAAAACATGTAAATGAACCGTCAGTCTGTTACTGAACTTTTGCCTTGGCAACTTAAAAATAAATGTTTAAGTAAAACATATGCACTAAAACTGAAAAAAATGTAAGCTAAAAAAGTCAAAAGTGCATAGCAAAATTACTAAAATTAAAAATAAAAGCTAAATCAAAATATGAATAAATACTATAACAGTATATATAAATACTACAATAACACTGAACACAGCTCTGACAAAATGATACATTTTACATTTAATATTTTAACTATTTTCCAAATAGTTATTATTAATATATATAATATAATATAATAAATACATAATATTTATTTATAAAGTTAACAGAAATATAAATTTATAATCAACATTCATATCTGTTTAAAAATGTTGCTTTCTACTAACAGCTTGACAAATTAAACATTGACAATGATTTTGATGTTAATAATGATATATACACTTTTCCTTTGTACTTACTCAAAAGTGTGCCAGAACCTTAATTGGGTCCTGCACACACACACACACACACCTCTGATCTACATTAGTCTCATATAATCTCTCACCTAAATTCTCTTTTAAACACAGATTTACATCCGACTGTAACCCACAGAATAAAAGCCCACTAAACACTCAGAGATCCAGGGCTCTTTTGTGCTCCTTTTTTTAATTAGTTTTACACATTAAATGGAGTGTTTAATTTACAATCAACCTGCCAAAAACATTATATTCATGCAACCATTTGGATGTGGAAGCAAATTCTCTCAAATGCACAAGTCTTTGCACACTAGTATAAGAAAGAAAGATCAAACATGTATTTATATTAAGATCTCTCTCTCTCACACACACACACACACACACACACACACACACACACACACACACACACACACACACACACACACACACACACACACACACACACACGTGCATGAGATGTTCCAGGCATTTAGGACACACAGGGTTGAGAGCCTCTCCTTCACTCCACCCCTCTATCTGCTCGCTCCATTTATCCCTCCATCCAAGACTGCTTTGTTTCACAGGCTGCCCAGGATTTGTACTGAACCATCTACCTCCCTCTCTAACACACACACGTTTCTCTATCATGGCGGAGGCTTGTGCATTGTGCTAAAGATATTTTCTCTATTTCTAAACTTTTGCATTTAAGCATTCATTAAATCACCATGAAATCAAATTGACAATTGTTCAATTGATTATTTCTCATGGACTATTGCAGTATTTATTATAAATAATTTGTCCATGCACACAATTATTCTTTGAATTCATGTGCCTTCATAATGTTCAATCAAAATAAACGTCCCCTCCCTCTTATCGATATCACTTCTCTTCTCTGATGATGTGTTTACTGGCGTGAGGGCGGGGCAACCTGTCACTCACATGAGATCCACCAATAGCAAACCAAAATTCCCCAAGGACAAAATCAAGCCCCGCCCTCATTTTTCTCATTCTAGAAGCCATTTCACTCTGATATACGTCACAATAGAGAAGAAAATACTTTCGTCTCATGCCAACATTAAAATACTATTTTAGGCTTTCTACTTCAAAATGTCAAATTAATTCAGTGTGTTAATTGCCGCTTCTTTGTAATTATTTGTGATATTTGCTAGCAGTTTTGAAAATTGTTTGAAAATTGTTTAAAAGTAAATCCTACACCTTTTTTTTTTTCACAGTATAAAAGTGGTTTTCAAAGGCATAGAGAGCCTAAGTCCCTCCCCTCCGCTTCCGGCTCATGGGACCTTATTTCGGAAAAAATATGTATGGTAGTCAATGGCGAGAGACAACTTATCTTTTTATTCCGTCTGAACTGTGCCCTGAATTACACATATGATGTTTGTCAATTTAAAAGATAATTAAGAAAGTCGCAGTTTGTCATAAAACAGAAGAGTAACATTTAGTTTTATGTGAAAATCGCTCGATGAACTACATCTCCCGGGAAGCGAAACAACGAGCGAGATCCGCTGCTCGTGTGTGTGCAGTCTGGTACAAAACACTCAGGCGTGACGGCGTAACGTTACGATTATAACGTAAGACTATAGAAACAATGACAGACGTTAGCTTCAGTAAAGTTAGCTTCATTCATTGAGAGAAAATGTGCGCCTTTGGGGTTTGTAGTCTTTGTGATTACGTATTTTCACAGTCTTATACCTCAACAGTTTCAAATCAAGCTGTGACTTTCTTGACTTTAAAATGTATCTCTTAAATTGACAAACATCATATGTGTAATTCAGGGCACAATTCAAACGAGATCAAAATATTTGTTGTCTCTCGCCATTGACTACCATACAATATTTTTCCGAAATAAGGTCCCGTGGTGGTCGACCGGAAGGGGAGGGGCTTAGGCTCTCTATAGACTATAGCACATTTGTGTCATTTACATATTTATAGCACATAATCACTCCAAACCATCTTAAAAAGGGAAATATTTGGAATAATGTTAATTAGGAATATAATAGTATTTTTACTTTAAAATGTCACATTTAATTCAATGTGCTACTGTAATTTCTTTGTCATTATTTGTGAAATTTACCAGTAATTTCTGACTGATAATTGTTTCAAAGCAAATCCTGCACCTTTTTTTTAAAACTGTATTTAAGATGAGCGCATTTCTGCCTTTTTACACATTTATAGCACATGTAATCACTCCCAACAAGGGAAATATTTGTAATTATGCAATCAGGAATATGAAAAACAAAGAAAACGAGAGGGAATAAGAGCACAGATCTGAAGAGGACAGGTGCTTATTTCAGGTAAACATGAACGCACAACTCTTTTTAAAGTACCTGCCTCATCCCACAAGCCCCCTCTCTCTCTGTTTGTCTTCAGTCTCAACCTGACCTAGTTACAGACTGCTGCAGTAACCAGCCTCCTCTGCCCAGGTGTCTCTCTCTCTCTCTCTCTCTCTAATGATCTCTCATAGTAGTGCTCTGTCAGACTCCATATTGCCCGCTTAAACGGGGGAACTAGTCAATTGACAAACCAGTTGCATGTTTAAGTCACACTCTCTAGTACTTTACGCCCTTCGCAAGATTGATTTACATTTACATGAAATGCATGGAATACCAGCATACTGCGTACTACACGTAATAAATACCTAATTTATGAAAGAGAAGCAGAAATTTCTATGTAATGAATCTTTGAACTGATAGCAACAATGATTTAGCATGTGTTTCATGAATGAGGCAACAGTATACAGTATGCCAAGATAAACATGAGCATGCAACAATATCATTATATAACACAATGTTGCATATTTAATTCAGTTTACTTAGCATTTTTAATCTAATTTTGCAAAAAAATATTGTTACGCTGAGTTAGGCTATATGTCACTTCAAAAACACATTTCTTACATGCAAATCACAATTCAAACGGACAATTATTATTGATTAACCATTCTGTTGTGAGTTAGAGTATAAATAAAAAAGTGTTGTGTCATTGATACATTGATGGTATCAGATGGTTATACCGTGATACTGTATTATTATCATATTCACATACCATGGTATTTATACAGTACCACAAAAGAATGGCATGGTAATACAATCACAATTGTGAAACAAAAATATAGTTTTAGCAGAGTACCAAACTCAAAACAACACATTATTACCATACTAGGATAGAAAACAGCTTGGCCATATGTCCAAAAACATAGAATTACCATGGCACCATACGAAAAAAACACAATATTACCAGACTATGATGTCCAAAACAGTACCATGTCCTAAAATGTGGTATTGCCATGGCATCATGTTAAAAAAACACACAATATTGCTATACTATATTGTCCAAAAACATAGTATCATGTCCAAAAATGTGGTATTATCATGGCATCATACTCAAAAAACACCATAACCCTTACCATACTATGATGTCCAAAACGTAGTTTTACCATAGTACCGTGTCCAAAGATGTGGTATTTTG